GTCAGGTAAAATACTTTGATATACCCCTCGTATGTGTCTAAGTTGGACCTTTCTATTATTATTTTTATGTTTGTACCATCTTTTTTTTTAACTATATACCCACTGATAGATGTTTTAGACACATATCGACACAATTTAACTTATTCTAGAGCTGTGTCAATTCGGTGACGATTGTCAGGACCATCTCAGATATGTGGATATAACAGAGTAAAACGAAATGGGTTCACTTTTGATTCCAGTGAGCAAAAGGAATGTATGCGTTTAAATACAAAACCTTGACCTTTTTAAAAATATACACTTGATGATTATGATAATTTACAAAATCCCAACAACAACAAAACAACAACTATGTTTACCCTGGATATAAAAATTTCGAAATGTTTCCGTTTAACTTTGTATTTTCTTTTTCTTGAAAGTTTTTACTTCGTTTGCTTGTGGGAACGCCAGTTTATAATGGTTTGTCAGATTGTATAAATGTTTTAAATGTGTTTGCTTGAAAACGTAAGCGGTTTATTTTATGATGTATGCATACAAATATGATTTGTTATGTGCATTAAGAAAAATGTGTATTGCGCAGATGGGAATGATAAAAACAAACAATTTTCCTCACAATTTTGATAAGCAATCTCAATGCAAAAACAGTGCAAAAGTAAAAGCAGCATAGTTAATTTGTCGCCTCAGTTTGCAAGTTTACTATTTCATGAGAGCCTTGATTTGAGAAAATGCATGTTCAAGATTTAGTATGTCTGAATTCAAAACCATTTTTGAAATAAGAATTGCAAATACTGGAATAGGATTTTGGAATACAACCACATTCCATCTTTGAATGCACAATATTAAGTCGTTTCTTGAGAATTTCTGAAAACGTGATAATGTGTAAATTTACAATTGTTATCTGCCCATTTTAATCTTAAAATGTAGTGCCATGATCCAGAGAAGTGTTTTTAATACAGTAGAGATGGCTATGTTTCCAGCAATTTATTAAAGCAATGAAATTGTTGGGTCGATATGGTTCCAAAATTGTTATTGCTGGGTCAGCTTTCGAATACCACTGCTGAAAGGAATGAATTTATCTGATTTTTCCAACTTTACATAGTACTTCCATACGGACCATTTTGTTACCAAGAATTCAGTAAAGCAGTGAGGGGGGCTTCCGTGGTCTAGAGGTTAAGGTGTTCACCTCTCACTGAACAGGTCTCCGATTCGAATCAGGATTTCGAAGGTAATTTGTTGTTTCTCTCCTTTCACACCTTTTCCTTCTCTCTAAAAATGTTCTGTCATCTGCTTCCGTCTCTACTTTCTGCCCCAACTCCCACATCTAGCCTTCTCGGATAAGGGCGAAAAATCTTGGAAATCCCAGGTGCAAGTTACATCCGTTATAGATTCCCTGGTGGTCCAAAAGCAATAAGAGTAGGCTTCAGCCGCCATCCGGGGAAAATTCAAAATTATCGACTAACTGAAAATGTTTAATATGTCCTCGCGCTCATACGACCTTGGGCTTTTTCTAGCGCCGTATTATCCTTTAAAAAATAGATAAATAAATAAATGAATAAATAAATGAATAAAAAAGCAGTGAGAGGGATGGTTCTAGATTCGTGACCGGAAGGTCAGGATTCGAATCAAAATGCTACAAGAATAATACTCTGCTCTTACGTGTTCTTAAAAATGCTCGCCATTTTGTCAGCTCTGTTTAATCGGTTTATAAATCAGGATAAAATTAGAGGACGTTCCTTTGGCTCCGTTTATATCATGCAGGGCTAGAATGAAAAGCTTTCGTTCAAATCTTCGACCGCATGTTCTTGATATAGGGTCGTTTTGTGGATTCTTTAAGTCTCTCAACCCACTTAGCTCAGTTCTGATAACCTAATAGTGTGACATTACATATTAATAAAAAACAAAGATATAATATGTTATATTACATATATATAATATATGTGAGACAGCGTGGTGGAATCAGTCTCTCGTCAAAATAATCAAAGTGAAGAAACTTGCATTTGTCCGCAGGTTTGTGAATTTTTATCAAATTTTTGTTTTTTGGCTTAATACCTTTCATTCCCACTAAAGAACTCAATTCTGTGTGGATTTTTCAGAAACACGTTGGTTAAAGGCACAAAAAATGCACATTTTCAATTACCACGGACTCTTAATATGAGGAAATAATTAATTTTTGGACGCCATTTTCTCACTAATTTTACCTCCCCACCTCCTCCTTTTGCAAATATCTCGACTTGTATTCAAGATAAATGGATATTCTTTTCATTCAAATAAAGACAAGTGAACAAGCTTTAAGGCGATACCAATAACTCTACATGCCCAAACATTGACGAGAGCCTGATTCCACCACGCTGCCTCACATATATACATAAGTTTGTAAGTCATACCAGGTGAACCAAAAAACCTTTACCCACGGAGACATCCACGAAAACGGTTAAAATAGACATAGAACCGCAAGATTTCACAGACATAGTAGGTCATCATCTGCATTTATTACACTAATTTG